ATTAGGTCACTATGAGTCAGTACTGTCTCAATGGTACCTAACAACAACAACAACAACTAAGGAATAGCTCATTTTTCAGTTTTGTAGGAAGTCAGAAACCTTCCAACATGGAAATGAGACAGAAGTCAATCTTCAGGCCAACGGAGACATCGGTTGCAATCACTTGTGATCTTCCATATCAGATCACCAACTATGTCCACTGGTACCAATACCAAGAGGGAAGAGCCCTGCAACGCCTCCTTTACTACGACTTCCATGAATCAAAGGTGGTGTTGGACTCAGGGCTCAGTTTAGAGAAATACAATGCTTATGAAGGTACAGGGAGGAGCTGTAATTTTGTGCTCAAAAATTTGGAAAAAAGTGATTCTGCTGTGTACCCTTGTGCCACCTGGACTTACATGGTGATTCAGAACTCCCCTATCCCACACTTAAAATTTTTGCTTGTGGCTGCCAACAATCCTTGTACATAAGACAGACCCACTCTTGTCTCTTCACTTCCTGCCCCTGATTTGACTGTATTCTTTTAACAGTGAGAAACTCTGAGCTCAACAACTACCCCTGAGCCTTCCATCTTTCAAGCAGCTAGAACCCACCCTCCCTCACAACCAGGCAGAAATTCTTGCTATCTCAGCTCTTGTCTCTTTACTTCCTGCCCCTGACTTCACTGTACTCTTAACAATGAGAAATTCTGAGGTCAACACCTACTTCTCAACCTCCCATCCTTTAAGCAGCTAGAACCATCCTTCCTTCACAACCAGGCAGAACTTCTTCCTGGTGTGCATGAACCAGCCTGACACAACAGCAACTAGCACAGCACGTAGGCTGGTTTACTGAATCATCTATCCAGTCATTTTTGTTGTTACATGCTGTGCAGTCAGTTCTAACTCATAGGGTTTCTGAGGAATAGCCGATAAGTTTGAACTGCCAACCTTGTGGTTCAAACCAACGTTGTAGTCCAGTGCTTATCCTACAGTGCCATACCAAGCTCTACCCAATCATTATGCAGAAATGATGGCTGGAAATTATATTTATTGTTCAAGAATATGGAAAAATGATAGAATGAAGGTTTGGGACTACATGAAGACTTCTAGCTGGCATCTTTTGCACAAGCTAATATATTCTGCACTATCACCAGCCATACTGTTAACATGATTAGGAGTCTAGGAAAAAAGTGAAAGATAGTCCAACTGTTGTTTCTTACTTATATCTTCTTTTGAGATAATCTGTCTTAGCTCATAGCCAATGCTGTTCTGGTTTCAAAAAGGAAATCTCTATTACCTTCCTCTCCCCCAACATTCACACAACCAAGTTGTAAACTGAACCTAATTTTTGTTCCTCAATAATTAAAACTAAGATTCTGTTTGGATAATAAACAGATAATGAGGAGTATACATTTATTATAACACACAATAAAGTCATAAAGGCAACCACAGAGCCCTAATGTAAGTGATTTCCGGTGATGCTAAAAGATGACAGTGTTCCTAGGGACAAGATCAACATTCACTCAACTGTATCCTTCTCTGTATCATTAGAACATCTCAAGACAGGACAACAAGCTGATGCCACCAGTCACTTTTCTCAAACCCAGAGTCCTTTGAATGAAAGAGACTCTTGGTTCCCCTGAGAAAGAACCCAGCAACTATAT